CACTTACTGTTCAACATAAAGCACTAGAATATAAGCTCCACGAGGGTGGAAACTTTTGTCTCTTATTCGCTGTTCTATTCTGCAGCACATCAAACAGTGCCTGGCACACAGCAGGTGCTCAATAAATACTTATTAAATGAATATGTTCAGGATGCTCAGAGGAAGACCCCACCAATCATCAAACCAGGAAGAAAGGGATCTGGTCTCCAGATCCCTTGTGTGCGGCTGAAATGTGTTCTGAGATGGCCCAGTGTCCAAGTTTTATTCCCTCACCTACTGAGAACAGGGACCTGCCCTTTTGACAGCTGAATCTTGGGAGGCAACAGTCTGATGCAAAAAAAAAAAAAAAAAGTAGGAACTCAGTTCCCCTGTTTACAATTAGGAAAAGAGGGATTTAGAAGTTTAACAGAAAGGGCATTGCACCAAGACAGCCCAGCTCCTTGGCAAAGGTTCAACACCAAACTGCACCTCTAGAATGCAGCCTGCGAGGAGAATCCCACACCTGCAGCTGCTGACTCCTCTTTCAAACTTGATCTCTAGCTATCCTCTCCTCATCCTAAAGGCCAGCTGGGTTAGAACCTTATTTGTTGTTGTTGTTGTTTTTGAGACAGAGTCTCACTCTGTCACCCAGGCTGGAGTGCAGTGGTGCGATCTCGGCTCACTGCAACCTCCACCTCCCGGGTTCAAGTGATTCTCCTGCCTCAGCCTCCCAAGTAGCTGGGACTACAGACACCCGCCACCAGGCCTGGCTAATTTTTTTGTATTTTTAGTAGAAACGGGGTTTCACCATGTTAGCCAGGATGGTCTCGATCTCCTGACCTCATGATCCACCCACCTCGGCCTCCCAAAGTGCTGGGGTTACAGGCTTGAGCCACCGCACCCAGCCCAGAAACACTTTAATTTTGTGCTTATTTACATCATAGCAATTAGGGTGAATTATTATATCACCAAGTATCAATTGTTGAGCTCTTATATTAGTAGATACTGTGCTAAGCGTCTGCAAACATTATCTCATTCTATCCCTACCACAGCCCTGTAAAGTAGGTATTACCCCATTTGTCATGTTAAAAAATAAAATCTCTGTCTCAATCCCACCTGTAGATACTATCCCAAATTTTTGCTCCCTTTTATGGGAAGGGTTGGTCTCACTTTGGCTTTTAGCTCACTGCACTGTTCTCAGATTCCTGCGCTGATTTCACATCTCTCCAGTATCTGAAAGTCACTTGGTCCTTGGACCACATCTTCTTCTCTGGCTCCTCTCCTATCTCATTCAGTTTCATGGCTTCAACCCTTATCTATACATCCCCAGTCCAGATCTCACTGCTTAACTTGATCCATTGATCCAACTGCCTACTCAGCATCTCCCCTTCAATGTCTGATGGGTATCTCAAATTTAACATGTCCAAAACAATTCCTGATCTTCCCCTCCAGAATCCCCCCTCCTGCGATCTTTCCCATCCTGCCCAAGGGCAACTCCATCCTTTCAGTTACTTAAGCCAAGTACACTGGAGTCATCCTCCACTCCCACTTTATCTCTTAGACCCCACATCTGATCCTTCGGCACGTCCTGTTGGCTCAGTCTTAAAAATATATCCCAAATCCAGCCACTTACCACCTCCTGACTACCACTCCAGTCTAGCACCATTATTTCTTGCAAGAAGGACTGCAAGCATCTCCCAACTAGTCCCCTGCTTCAACCTTTGCTCCTCAACATAGAAGCCAGAGTGGTCCTATTAAAAATTCAGATCATGTCACTCCTTCGCCTAAAACTCTGCAATGGCTTCCTACCACACTCAAGGAAAAGCCTGAATTCTTACAATGGCCTACAAAATCTACTACATCCCAGACGCTACTCTGCAAAATCTAGCGTCTGGGATGCTCTTCCCTCAGACACCTCCCTAGAACACCTCACTCTTCATTTCCTTCAGGTCTTGGTTCAAACATGACCTTCAGTGATGCCTTTTTGTGACCACCCTATTTAAAATTGCTGGCCAGGCACGGTGGCTTATGCCTGTAATCCCAGAACTTTGGGAGGCCAAGGCGGGTGGATCACTTGAGGTCAGGAGTTCAAGATCAGCCTGGCCAACACGGTGAAACCCCATCTCTACTAAAAACACAAAAATTAGCCGGTGTATGGCAGATGCCTGTAATCCCAGCTACTTGGGAGGCTGAGGCAGGAGAATTGCTTGAACCTGGGAGGCGGAGGTTGCAGTGAGCCGAGATTGTGCCACTGCACTCCAGCCTGGGCGACAGAGTGAAACTCTGTCACAAAAAAATAAAAATAAAATAAAATTACAGCTCCCACCCCCACCCAAACACCTCAGCCTCCCCCTTTTTTTTCTAAAACATGTATCACCATATACATAAATTTTAGTTGTCTGCCTCCCCCATACTAGAATGTAAACTCCAAGAGGTGGAGGATTTTTGTACCTTTTGTTTACTATGTATTCCCCAGCACCTAGAGCAGCGCTTCGTAGAGTGGGGACAGATGGAGAAATACAGTCTCGGTCAAATTTCTTACCCAAAGTCTTACTAGTAAGTGGCACGTTGGATTAGAGAGCCCGAGGCTTAATCCTAATACTTTACCTGTTATTGACCGTCATCCAGAGAGCCAGAGGGGAGCTCTGACTCAGCCAAGGGCAGAGTAAGGCTAATCTGCTTCCTGAGTATTATTGGTGGTCCCGGCTTCATGGGTTTTTAGAACACACAGAGGTATCTTCCTAGCTGTTTCTGGTCAAACTGTTTAGGAAATCCTCCTCCCTGGAAATCATCCTGGATAACAGGGAAGAGCCCAAGGTTTCCTTATCCATATTGTCTAAATGGGCCTATCCCATTCCCTGATGGATTATATTTGCCTTCCCACCAAGCTGTACTCAGCCTGACACACACCGTTCAAGTTACATCACTGTGGTCTTAAAAGTTTCTGGATAAAAGTTTTGGATTACAAATTATCTGTAATTTTCTTTGTTTTGCCCTTAGGAGAGAACGTAAGGCCCTTAAGTGGTATGTTAGCTTTCTGCTAATGATGGCAGAATACTCAAAACCATCAAAAATATACAAAGTTTATAAGAACATGGCCAGGTGCGGTGACTCAAACCTGTAATCCCAGCATTTTGGGAGGCTGGGGCGGACAGATCACAAGATCAGGAGCTCGAGACCAGCCTGGCTAACATGGAGTAACCCCATCTCTACTAAAAATACAAAAATTTGCTGAGCACGGTGGCTCACCCCACAATCCCAGCACTTTGGGAGGCTGAGGCAGGTGGATCACCTGAGGTCAGGAGTTCGAGACCAGCCTGGCCAACATGGAGAAATCCCGTCTCTACTAAAAATACAAAAATTAGCCAGGCGTGCTGGCCCATGCCTGTAATCTCAGTTACTCAGGAGGCTGAAGCAGGAGAATCATTTGAACCTGGGAGGCGGAGGTGGCAGTGAGCCGAGATCGCGCCACTGCACTCAAGCCTGGGCAAGAGAGAGAGAGTCTAAAAAAAAAAAAAAAAA